AGATGCCCTTGTCCCAGGTCTGAGCGGAGGGGAGGGGGCGCCCGGGAGGCAGGGGGAGGGGCGAGGCGACCGAGGCTGCGAGGGGGACACTCGAAGGCAGAGGTTCCCACCCCTCCACCGTGTTGATTGCTATTAGCATGATAATGAACTCTTAATGGTATCCATTAGCTGGGACTTAGAGGACTCGCTTAGAACAAAGTACCTGGCATTGAAGGCTCCCAGACCCGGCCCCTTTCCTCCACCGACGGCCGAGGGGTTCCTCCCGGCAGGCGTTCGTTCCTGTTGGCAGAGGAGCGTGAACTTCGCTGCCGCGTTTCCAGGACCCAGGGTTTGGAGCCCTTGCTGGTTGCCGTTCGCTGAGCTTGAAGCCAGACCTACAGATTTCACCTGAGGGACCTTGTCTTCTCCCTCGATTCTCCCACGTAAACTCTGACGTCTAACATGTCCTAGAAGAGGGATGACCATGGCCTAACGGGATGGCACGGTTCGGGTATTCTTAATGACCAGGCAAATGCCTTAAGTACACAAGCAAGAAATGTCTTAATTATACACCCCAAGTAAATACGGGTTTCTTACATTAGAGGATGTATTTATATAATTATTTGTTAATTGTAAAAATGTGTAAAATATGTACATATCCAAAGATATACAGTCTGTACATTTTCTTGTAAAAAGTTTAGAGGCCACCCCTGTAAGAACAAATATAAGTATTCTATTTTGTCAATAAAATGACTTTTGATAAATGATTTAAACATTGCCCCCTCCCCCTGCCTCTTCCAAACTGTTACCTTTAAAGTGCTTGCGGAGGGCACGTTGGAAACATGGACATTTTCTGGTTTCTCATTATGTTCACGGACGTTAGGCATGGAGAAAATGATCTGTTAAACTAGTTCATAAGTTGTTAGCGGAGTGAGTATTACTGTCGAACTGCACTCAAAATTGAGATTTTAGCACCTTTCCGAAAAGATGTTTTTCATGGCATCTCTTTTCTGATCCGTGGTGAACAACACTCACCTTAGTTTATGTAAATGGGACCTTCCACAAGGCCGTAATTCCACTCCGGCCTTGTTATTTATCTTGTGTAATATCACTAAAGGCTTCCAACCCCACGTTCACTTCTGGCGTCCGTGATTTTGGAGGCACCTGCTCTTGCAGGACGGAGCACACTGAAGGGTCGAGGTTAATGTTTGAAAGCATCGATCACACTTTACGGTGTAAGTCACTTGACAATCTGGTAGCCGACCAGGCGTTCCTTCATGGATTAAACTAACGGGTTAACATCTTAATAACCTTCCAGGCTTGTGTCGTCCAATGCGCTGCTTTTCCTAGAGAAAAAGCTATTGTTCCTCTGTCAAGACTAAGCTAATTTATTGGAGCAGAAGGCTGTTGAATTAGCAGAAGAATGCTTTGGCAATTGTTGAACTTTTTACCTGTCTGCCCAGTGGCTCAGCACATCCTTTAAGAGGAGCCAAATGAATAGGGTTAATCTGTAGGGAACTTGGTCTTTTGAGTTGGAAAACCTTTGATCTTTTCTCCTCTCCAAATGTGCCGTATAGTCTGAAGTCTCTCCCTGCTGCCCGGCTCCTCTTGGTGCAGACCAATTGGCCACCGCAGAGCCTTAAAGTTCTTCCATTAAAGGGCTGTGGGACTTTTACTTTAAAAAGGAGAGAGAGCGGGGGAGAGGAAGACTTGTAACAGTTCGTGAAGACCAGAGGCACAAGTGCGCGCAGCCTTTTAAACAGCTTTTCCCTGCATTGTTAGCCAGCCTGCAGGCAGCTAGGCATGGGTTGAGACATTATAGAAAAAAGGCTCTGAATGCCCTACAGGTGGTCTGCGCACTTAATCCCCCAATTTAAAGCGTTTTCCTTTGCTGGACAATTGCATTACAAAACTCCCTTCTTTTTCGCTCCTAATTGAACCAATGAACTATTATAAACTACAAGTTTTTCTTTAAAAAAAAAACCATCAGTGCCTAAATTCTTTGACTACATTCTGGCCAGTTTTCTGGACTGAACTTTGAAAGCACCGGAAGTAAAAGCTGCTTCAGACATTTCTCTTTTTCAGATATTTTTCTTCCTCACGCTTGGTATTTTCTGACAGATGAGCAATAATTTAAAAGTAATTGGTGAGGTTGTGTGTTCCTACTGAAAAGATAGCCCCGGGTCCCTTATTAACCTGTCAATCAAGATAAGAAATGGGCAGTTACCCTGCTAATGATGGCGGCATCCAACATGGTGGGGTGGGTGGGGTCCGGTTCACTGCGTCCTGCTAAGAAGTTTGTTCTCTTTACTTTTCCTAATAGGAATATTTAGTGCTTTAAATTTTTTTTATTTTTGTTGAGAGGATGGAAACTACTTCTTTGACTGGTCTTTCTCATGTAAGAGGCTTTTAAGAGGAGTTTCTTGGTAGAAACATTTTGCAAGTCCCTCGCAGAGTCATTCGTGGGGTTAATTGGATTTTTCGAGGTAGATATGCAGTAAGAACCCCGACCTTAGTTATCATGCTGACTGTGTTTTTTAAAGTCAGAGCCACTGGAAAAATCTGCACCTTCTGAGAGTTTATTCATTAAAGGATGACTGCTTTGTAACTTGGGGACCAAGGAGTGGCCTGAGTCGAACCCATATGGTGACTCACAGGTACTGTAGTGTCCACGAACGGCATTTTCAGTTATAAGGAAGAAGTTCGAGGGCAGTTCCCGTAGTCCTTGCACACATGTGAGATGGAGAGAGAGTTAAGAGACTAGCTGCATTTGGCTTCCTGTTTTAGGACTTATGTTCAACTTTGAAGCTGTCTCCCTGGAGGGAGGGGGCATCTCAGCGGTGGAGCACATGCTTAGCGTGCGTGGGGGCCTGGGCTCAGTCCCCAGTGCCTACATTTATTTTTTAAGTGGAGCTTTTTCCCTTTATTTCTTCAATATATCCTTGTAAATTGCCACTTTTGATAACTTTTACCAAACGGCTATTAAATGTGTTCAATATAAGCAAAAAGCTTCGACAGAAAACCTCCCCAGCATCCTGAGGCCCGCCCGCAGGGGGACAGCCGGGGCCTGTGGCCCCTGTGCTCATAGGGACTGACTGTAGTGACTGATCTCAGAGCGCAGGGGCTGGTTGTGCGCCTTGAAAGCTAACGCTTAAGTTGCCAGGTTGCCAACACCCAAATGGTATCTATTCATGGGATTTAAAAACAAAAACAAATCGGTTTGAGGGATGGGAAAAGCAAGGGACAGGCCTACTCTGGCTGGGAGATGAATGTCCATAAAGTCTCATGTGGTTAAAACCATGAGAAAAGCCAACGCTTATTAAAATTACTTGTGGGAGAAGCTATGTGAAACACTTTCTTTTTGCTTTATAATAAATGCAATTTGAAAATACCATAAAACAGAGGGGAAATGGATAAGGGCAAACCTTGTCACCCTGACAGTTCCTTCACCTGCGCTGATGGCCCTGAAGGTCTCTGGAATCCTTCAGAGTTTCGGGGGGGGGGGGAAATCAGATGGTTCTGCCAAGAGAAAAGTCACACACAGAGCCTCAAGCAGCTGTGGGCACAGCTTGCAAGTCAGCATAGGTGACAAAGGTCCCCTGAGACGCGCCTCGTGTCTCCCCACACGACGCTCTGCTGCCACCTTGCGGTGCCGCAGAGTTCCAGCACCAAGGATGCGCGGGACCAGCACTGCAGGTCCTTCCCTCCAAACGCAGAGCCCCTGGTCCCCACCCAGATGGCCCGCAGCTGTTGTGTTCAGAATTTTGAACTCTTTCCCGCAAGAAAAAGATCCCCAAACTGCATCAATTTAAGGCCCCACAAGACCTCCATTGAATTAAATCCTCAATATAACATTTATGCTAAAAATTATCAATAAGCTGTGTTGAAATTCAACAGTCTTTTTTAAAAATTACCTTCTGAGTTGCTTTTATGTAAAGAATGAGCCGCTCACCAAAGATTCACCACATTTAATGGGAGGAAGAATAAGCCAGGAAGACTGTCTGGAGGTGGCTTGTTAATTTCTGCACACTTCAGTTTCCCACCGTGTAGTTGGTGCTGAGTCCAGGGGACACTCCTCTGCGCCCCCCACAAGTGCTGCTGGCTTGGGAGGGGCAGGGGCCCCCTTGTCTGGAACAGAAGGAATAGAAGCCGCACCAGGATCCACATCAACCAAAGGGAAAAGAGGGCATCGCTCAGGAGTCGGGAGCAGTGGAGAAGGCGTGGGGAGACGGAAGACCAGGGGCGGGAAGACCAGGCCTGCGAGCAGAGTGTGAAAGGCAGCTTCACGAAGCCCACATCCGAAGGCTTCTTCCTTCTGGGATCGCAGTGGCTGGGCGGGGGCTGGGAGGGAGGAGGAGAGCTGGTCAAGGGACTGAGGACGGAAGACGCTCTCGGAGGTCACCTACAGGGTCCTGGGGTCCTAAGTGGTTATCGGGACTCTCGCTGCTCCGTGGACAAGGGACAGTGGCAAGGCCTAGTGTTGAGGGAGGTGGACTCAGAAGCCACATCGATCGCCACCCGCAGCTTCCCGCATGCACAGGTCACTGCTTCACTTACAGGCCGGAAATTGACGCCCAGAGAGGACTGGACTTGCCCAAGGTCACACAGCCAGGAGCACAGCTGGGCCTGGAAGCCACGGATGCTACGTGTCACTCCTAATAGTAGCGACAGCTCATTTCCGCTGCCCTGGTTTCTGTAAGTCCCTGCAGCCACCAGCCGCCACATGCTTTCGTCCCTGATGTCAGCTGCCTGGCCATGTGCACCCAGTCCCAGAATCGTCCCAGAGCACAGGTTTCCAACACAGGTTTGCTGACCCACACGGGAACAGACGAGCACTGCCTGAGAGGCTGCCGGGGCGACTTTGGGAAGGTTTGGGCCCGCACCCACAGTGACACAGTCTTTGGCCAAGATCACACTTCCTAGTTGATACCAAGGCCCAAGGACAGTCTGCCTGCTACTTAGTGAGGTGCAGTGACCGGAGGAGGGACAGGGCCAGTGGCTGATGGAGTCACACCACCCTGGTCAGCAGGGGCCTGAGGCCTCTAGGAGGAAGGGGCGCTCTAGGCCCCCGGGGCAGCAGAGCCAGAGGGAGCAGGAAACAGCCCCGGTGAGCACTGCGAAGTCTCTGGAGGGAGGGGACGGGAGCGCAGTGGATTCAGACCAAGGCCCCGGGACATGCCCAGGAGGACGGTGGTACCTGAAGGGGCGGCAGGAAGGATGGAGTGAGGGCAGACGGCCAGGCCAGGGCAACGTCGGGATAGTTCGTAAGTAATGACCACGTTTTCACAGCCTTCCAAGCCTTGGGGAGCCCCACCACTCAGCCAGGACAAAGGTACCTATTTATGAGCCTTATTTAACACTCAAGTGAACCATACACTAATTAAAATCAGAAAAACAATTTCCAGCGTCCGTTCCGTGACAAAGCTGTTTGTAAGTAACCAGCACCCTGGCGGTGGCTCTAACCCCTGCCGACACCCACAAGTACAGGGGTGCCTCCACCAGCCACTGTGGCCAGCAGCACCCCGAGCAGGTGAACCAGAACTCCTGGGGAGCCCGAGCTTTCTAAAACCAGCCAGGGGGACGAGTCGCACGTGTAGGCAGCGTTGAAAGCCAGTGAATGGAACTGATATGATCTAAAAATGAAACCACAAAATACAGATAGAAATCAGCTGAGCCAAGGGCTCTTGTCATTCAATTTGCCTCATTTAAACGGAAGTTAGTTTTTTTTTCTTTTTGTCACCTTGAGTAAACATTTGGGAGAGGACAGGGGTGCCCCCAGCTGGTCGGAAGGGAGAACTTCATGCTTTGCTGTTGCAAACCAAAGCTCTCGCGGCACAGCGTTGTTTGGATAACCCTGCCTTCTCTTCCACTTGTAAAGTCATAACAGAGAACAGGGTACACAGGGTAGGATTCTTTTAAACAAGAAATTAGACCCAATAGGTAAACCTCCAAGGAGCCAAAAAAAGCGGACTCACCCAGTGGTGACCTAGTCTGGGTGTGACTTTCGACAACCAGGTGACTGTCACCTCGTCGTCCTGGAGACGGGGGTGGGGGCTGGGATCCTGAGTGTGTGTGGATACATGTACCTTTTAAAGGAACGTGACACCACCTCCCCTGATGCTGGAACTTTGCTCACATTTTACAATTGTAGGATAATGTTTATTCAGGGCAGAAATCTCCTTCCTCTGGGGACCCAGGAAGAAGGGGCGAGTCCTTGACCAAAGCCTCAGAAAGTGAAACTCACTCCCCAAGTGAACTCTGAGGTTTTCCTGAGTCTACAGATATCTTAACTGCTACACTGCATCCTATTTCTGTAAGAAACAGTCCAAGTAGAAGGTCGAAGGTGAAACCCATGGGAGGGATACGAATCTCGTGTCATACTGTTAAAGCGCATACGTAGCTATACTTAACGGGAACCAAAAAGAAGCTAATAACTCAATTTAGTCATTCTGGAAAATATCGCATAATGAACGTTGCTTTTACCTGCTTGACTTAGAGATTCTCCAGGAAGCTGCAGAAAGCCAGCGAAATGGAGAGGTTCAGAACACGGACTCAGGACGCCCTGCCTGGGCCAGGTTCTCAGCCTCTGTCTGCCTCAGTTTGCCCCTCTGTGAAATGGGAATGAGACAGGTTCCTGCTTCAGTGGGTCTCAGGGTAACTGTGAGGAGTGAATGAAGACAGAACAAGGTGAGCGGCACTGCCTGGAACAGTGGGAGGCAGCCAGCATCATCGAAGCCTGTTTTTCTGTAGCGATGCTTCCTTGTGCATTTTTGCATTATTTATTTTTATTATGACCAAAAAAAATACAACACACTTTACCATCTTAAGCAGTTTTTAAGTGTCCATTGTTTGATGCTAGGCATATTCACACTGTTGTGAGACAGAGCTCCAGAACTTGTTCATCTTGCAAAACTGAAACTATGGATTAAATATCCCCCTTTCCCCCTTCCCCTCGGTCCCTGGCACAACCGTTCTTCCTGCTTCTATGAACTGGACAATTCTCGGTCCCGCCTATGAGCACACTCACATGGCACTTGTCTTTTTGTGGCTGGTTTATTTTACTTCGCATAATATCCTCAGGGTTCATCTATGTTGTGGTCTGTGTGACAGGATTTCCTCCTTATTAAAAGCTGGCTAGCAACCAGTGGATGTACACACCACATTTTGTTAATCAGCTTATCCATTTATGGGCGTTTGGGTTGCCCCCACCTCTTGGCTGTCGTAAATAATCCTGCTAGGAACGTGGTGCGCAAGCATCTCTTTGAGACCCTGCCTTCAGTGTTCTGAGTGTGTTCCCAGAAGTGAGACTGCAGGATCACACAGCAGGTCTACATCTGAGGACCCTCCGTGTTGCTCTCTGCAGCCTGTGCCCCATTTTACAGCCTCACCAACAGTGCACAGGTTCCCGTTTCTCCACGTTCTGGCCATCACTTGTTATTTTCTGGGTTTTGGGTGGATTGAGGTTTTGTGGTTTTGATCTGCATTTTTCTGATGATTAGTGATGCCAAGTAACTTTTCACGTGCCTGTTGGCCATTTCTGTGTCATCTTTGGAGAAATGTCTATTCAAGCCCTTTGCCCATTTTTCATCAGGTTTTTCCATTTTTCCTGTTGAGCTGTATATTCTTTTTATATTCTTGATAATAACCCCTCCTCTGATACATGATTTTCAAATATTCTCACACAGTCCGTAGGTCGCCTTTCCACTGCTGACCGTGTCCTGT